AGCAGGAATAGATGCACTTTTAGGATGTAACTAATTAGAGGTTCATACAGACAAGATGCCTACACAGTACTGTCAACGTTCATTTACCTTGTCTGTCAATACTAGTTCAAACATGCTATGATAAAATCATATTTTATCATCTACGTTCTTAGTTTAGTCTCAATGAAAGTTCTTATGTCAACATATATAATTTCTGAAGTGTACAGATAAGAAGAGTAGTGTTTCTCTGTATTTTAATATGCTCCTTTGCTTGAATTGTAAAGCCACATTGTTCAGGAGAACATATAACTATTTCTTGTCTTTACATCATGGATCTACACTTAAATTACCTTATTTCAGTACCTGAAGAGGGGCAACTTGAATGTTTGTGAGAGAATGAAAATAAAACCTGCAAAGATGAAAAATTCCTGTGTTTTGGAGGCAGACAGCAAAGGAAAAACACAAATGTTTTTTACTTGATGTGTTTGGCATAGTGATAAGTTTCAATGTGTGTTTGTGCATCCAGTTATTCTTCTCCTAAGTGTCTGGATCCTCCATTTTTAGGAACAGGGAAAACAGAGTGAGACAACAGCATAGCAGGCTTGCTTTCTTGCAGTTTATAACAATTGATGCGATCTGGGTCCTTTGATCTATTGAGAGGCCCATATATTTATCCATTGGTGAGAATTAATTAATAGATTTTAGGTAGAATGACTCCGTCTCAAATTGACTCATATAAAAGAAAATAAGATATGAAGTGCTGCATTCTGTCTTTGTACATCTGTCCCAGCTGATATGGAGACTTGTACAGTTTTCCCAAACCCCTACAAAATGTGTTCTTTCTTCCCATTTTTTGTTTTTTGGTTTTTTTTGTCTTCTCTCCAAAAAACTTCGCCATTTTCCTGGAATGTTGAAATGAGACTGTGAAAGATGTGTCCCTTCCAAAACCTCATCTGAATTTTTTGGCGTTTATAATCAGTGCTGCCACTTTGAGCTCAGCGTGTTGGCAGCCACAGTGAGTGCCTTACTGCCCACGTATTGAGGTGGTGATTATTCCCAGCACCTCCTGCTAACCGACTCAAGACAGCCGGTAGTTAAGCCCTAGGATGGGTGTGTTGCAAGAGGCAGAAAACAAAATTGTGGTCTTTACACTAATGTTTCCTGAAAAACAGAGCTTTTTTTTTCAGGTAGCTGCTACACCGTCTGATCACTTTTTTTTTCCCAGTGGCAGGTGTATTGTTGATAATGAGACATAATGCAAGATACCTTTTTTTTTGCTGTTTCCTTCAACTTGCCAACGTTACTCATTCCTGTACAGACAGTTCCCACTGCACCTGAATTAGTTCCACTATAGAATTTGTTCTGCTGCATTGGCCAGGCTGCTTTGGTGTGTAATACAGTTTGTCTTGCTGCCACCCTGTGTCATATGGGGATTAACAGGACGGGGTGGTTCCACTGATAGTGTATCAGCCAAGGAAACTTCCTAGTCAGGGGAGTAAAAAGCTCTTGATGGACAAGAATCAGTGTGAAACTGCGTGCTTTAAGGAACTGGTGTAATGAGTGTCCTTCCTACATCAGTACAGAAGCTCAAAACTGTGATTTGGCCAGAATCAGAGTCACAGAAGTCTTGCAGACTAAACTGCTATTTTTCAGCAACAGTCCTTGGTCTTACTGACCTTGTCCGAAAGTAAGCGTTCACTTTCCGATCAAAACTAAACCAGAATTTGGTATGTCTTCATTACTCTGCAACTAGACTTCAAAAGACAGCTGTATTTCCCTAGCCCTTCTACTGAGCTCTACCAACACTTTTACGAAGTCCTGGCCCCAGTTTCTCTGCGGCCATCCTACCCCTCGTTTCCGCAGTCTGTAAGAGCAAAATGAAAACTCTTAAGGCTGTATCAAAAAGGAAGGTTTCAACATCAGTCTGTGAAGTCTTTTTCAGTCCTTTGGACTTGAAGGACTTGCCGTTTGATTGTAGTCAATTCTTGTGCATTATCTCCTCCAGAATACTCTTTGCTTTCTGTTGTTGTAGTAGTCTTTATAAACCATCCGCAAAGTAGTTGATTACAGAAATCATTTTCTTTCTCAGCTGCAAGCGGATGGACAACATGAGGCCATGAGTTGCTTTTTAATATGCACACACTCAGGTTCAAGCAAAAGATGGTAGGGGCCAGTCTGACTGAGGCAAATTCCTCCTGAAGTCTATTCACAAACTGAATATGAAGTCCAAATATTCCTCCTTTTGCAAACATCTAAAACAATCCATTGGTTATAATGTCAACAGTTTTGTTCTGAGGAGGATCCGACAATATTAAATGTTAGCCATACTGTCCTCTTTTTTTGTAGGTCCTGGAAGTGATGGGATCATGGTAATCTGGAAAGACAACTTTGAGTCCCTCTACAGTGAAGTGGCTGAGCTTGGCAGGTGCGTTCTGTATGCTGATCCCCAAAGTTGTCTATGTCAAAATATGAACTTCTCATTCAAAAAATGAAATTCTCTTTGAAAAAGACTTATCATATGAGCCTAAAAGGCCAGAATTACATTGGATTAAGTAGAAATTCGGA